TAAGGTTACATGATCATAACATGATATGGTAAATAACAAGTAAATGAATGTAATTGTTATCTTACAGCAAAATAGTGTGATGATATATTTGGGTCATTAAGTTAACTATTTTGTCAAGGCCAATAGTTGATTATTATGTTATATTACCCACAATTTGGAAGGTTCGAGTTAAATTTCAAAATTAAGTTGAATTTAATGAATTTTAGTGATGTGAAGTTTAGGTTATTTTCGATTGTATTTTGGATTTCATGAATAACATAATCCATTCTTATCAAAGTCTATTTGCTATGGAATATATGGATGATATGTTGAATAGTCCAAACTCTAAGATAATCATCACATGTAAATATTACTCATTGTGGAATAGTAGCTTTAGATTACATTATCTCAATTAAAGGTCTTTTATGCCATATACAAGAAGGTTATGCATTGGTGATAGATCAACGGCCTGTTTATGGAATAAGAGTATAGATTTTCATGGATTAAATGTTATTATTATCTCTTCATAGAAAGAAAGAACAAAATTTGTATGGGTATAGAAATGTCAAAAGTTTTTGCTATCAGGAAATTCTGAGGAAATATTTGCTCTTATATCTAAAGATAGTGAGTGATTGATTCAGGATAATGATTTATGTTATGGTTTAGAAAGTGTTTCGTAGAATGATAATTTATGGATGATACTATAGATTGTTAAAGAGATGTGATTAAAACATTATATAATTGGCTATATTGGAATTGACATTAAGGAATTGTGACGTTATCACATGGTGTGAAGATCCATACTTGTTGACCACATGAGGTTAAGGTATATTTGCATTCGAAGGAGTTGAACTTGAAGCTGTGTATATATTATCGTTAGGTGATAAAAGAAAAGCTAAAAATAACACATATTGATCATCAAGATGATATTTAAGTTATTGGTTCAACATGTATTCCATATGTTCAAGACTTAGTAATGGATATCAGTTTTAACTTATGCTATAACATTATCAGTGAAATTGATTGAAAATCTAACCTATGAAGAATAACCAATTCAGATAATGGATAGAAAGGAACTGGTCTTGCATATTAAGACTATTTCCTTGGTTAAAATCTTATGGACGAATCAGGCTATAGAAGAAACGACATGGGAAAGTGAAGAGCAGATGATATCCACGACTTTTTCGTATATAGCAAGTTGAATTTCGAGGACGAAATTTTTTTAAGGGAGTGAGTTTTGTAATACCTTAACTAATTAAAAGAGAAGTCAAAGAAAAATTTTAGTCAAACATGTCATGCTATAAAAATAAAAATAAAAAGGGAAAAAAGACAGGTGGTGCATGGGATATGTATTAGCCAATTCCAGTGCTATCCTTGTCCATTTCATAAATATACATATATATCGACAATCCATTTTCCACACACAATACATAGCAAGAGGGAGAGAAACGAGAGCAAGGGAAAAGAAAGACAAAAGAGGAAGAAAAAAGAGAGGAAGAAGAAGGGAAAAAAAAATCGCCAAGTTGTTAGACAATAAGTGCTTTCTACTATTAAACTTAAATTCCTCAATTTCTACAGGCGAGCTAAAGTTTACTCATTGAATAGTTATGTTTAATTTAAGAGTTGTTAGATTATCAATTTAAATTCAATTTTGTTGAAAGGGAACTATTGAACTATAATAAGTTATGAAATTAAGTTAAAAAGAAGTAAAATAGCTTAAGTTATTAAAGAAATTGGGGAATATTGTTAAAGTATAAAAAAGGATTAGAATTTGGTATCACCTATTTAATTATTGAAATTACTTAAAATAGTTAATTGTTAATCTAAATATTATGTCATATTTTAGGCGGCGATATGGATATTAGGACAGCTTACCAACTGAGTCGATTTGTGTACATAGTTTGTGAGTGGAAAAAACTTATATATTTTCAAATATTGATAAATTAATTATACTATTACTTTATGTGCAATTATGTGAATTTCTTGTACAATTACATGATTATTATATTAAGTTCTTTCATTATGATATATGTGAAATCATAAAAGTTGTACGTGAATTACTTATGAATTGGAACGTGACATGTAATATTGAGATCGACCAGAAAAGTACCGTGATTAAATACTTCTTCTAGTTCACAAAGGGGTCTTGGTCATGTTCTATACTAAATTAAAGGGTCTTGGACCGTGGATGAAGGAGTCTTGACCGTGTACAAATAATTTACTGAGAGGCCTTGGTCGTGTTCTAGAATTGGTTATCAAAGGTCTTGAGATCCGCTTTTGTTCACAGAGGGGGCCAAAGGCCCATGGCGAAAGTTCTTAGTCTGAGAGGTGGATTACAAAATTCAGTCAAAGGATACATTTTTAGCGGATTATATGTGGTACAATGAGATGATATTATAAATTTGTGTTGATGATTGTATCATAACTATGAGATTATATATTTCACTATTATGATGATGTTTCACATCTTCACTATTACTATATGTTATTATACTTTGGACTGTTAAATGATGCAAATTTGATTTTCGATAAAGATTTATAAATGAAAAAAGTATAATTATTTTCTAACTTCTTCATTCACTGAGCTATTAACTCATATATTTTTCCATGATTTTTCCTACAGGTGGCACTTGGTTTTTATAGCTGGAGGAGCTTAATGATTTCAGAGTGATAGCCACATGACATATTGAGAGTTATGATTCATATTGATGAAGCATGAAGTAAATATTTTGAGCCCATCGCATTATATTTTACATAAGCATTTGATTTTAGCGTATTTTTGTAATAGCTCACAGTCAGCCTTGGTGATAGATTTGACACCTATTCGACATCTATCAACGGTGTATGTCACTTTTCGGGTCTACTAGGATGATTCAGGATAGGTCATGTCATTGAGCCTTGAGTCTAGCTGTTTAGGGCTTTTTTAGGCCGACGAGCCAATTTGTCATCCCTACTCTAGCATAATATTTATTTTTCACTTCAATTCCCTCAACATTCCAAAATTATCAAAAGAGACCCAACTCAAAATCTTTAGCTTCCAATAGTCATTTTTATCACTAAATAATCTTAATTTATCATATTCTCATCTAAAAATACATTCTCATTATTTACAATTTAGCACCTAAACTTTGCATTTATTTCTTTTATTTCCTTAGTAAACTAAAAAATGCTCTAATTGATAATGAAACTTCTTTAACTCGGGTATAGACCATATATCTTATGATATGAAATTTTGAAATATTTGAGAGCAATTTTTTTGTATTTCTTCGTACCACGACAAATCTTACTTGTAATTGCTACATGGTATGTCAAATTAGCACCATGCCATGTCAAGACACAAAATATCTCGTCACTCCATGAAATTGTTAACTTAGTGAGTTGGTCGGGTTTAACGTGTTTTTTTGACTTTATGATTATTATTTAAAAAAAATATATTTTTAGCAATTTTGAAGTATAATAAAGGATCTTACCAAAATAATAATAATAATAAAATAATAATAATAATAAAGAAGAACTTTTAAAATAATTTCCGTAAGGGTCATTTCATGGAAGGAGTTATGTGCCTAAACTTGACCATACCGACAAAGGGATGGAATTAAAGTAGGAATGCTGCAAGAAATTATAAGGCCTATAATTGCTTGCATTAGCAGTGCTTCCTTGATGTGTTGACGTCTCATTTCTTTGCTTGAGCATTTTTTCTAGAGATCAGAGATGGCTTTCGCTCCTGTTCTTTCTCTTAAGATCATTCTTGATCAGATCTATTTTGAAGATAGATTTTTCAAGTGATGGCAACGGGGCGGATTCGGGGGGCAACTTTTTGCCCCGCTTAATTTTTTTACATTTTCGAAATTTCGAATTATATTATTGTTAGAAAAAAAATACAAATTCAAAATTAGTTTTTAACGGGTGAATTGTTTAGAAATAAAATTATTTTTAATTTTTTTTTTCTCGTCATGGGATGCCCCCGCCCCACCAACCCATTTGAGGTGGAGCGGGTTTTATTGCCATTCCTAGATTTTCCATTCCTTTTGATCGCAAAGAAATTTTCTCTCTGCTAAAAAATGTCCAAAAATTATTACATTTCCTCACTGAATCATCCGAATATAGCAGCAAAAAAGTGAAATCGTTGGAAATAAAAATCAGAGACGCTGCTTATCATGCTGAACATGTCATTGAATCCTGGCAAACAGGCTTGCAGAAAAGAGTGAGAAAAGTTTATTCCAGGATGTAAGAGGAATATATAAATATTACGGACTTGTAGAAAATAATATCAGAAATTGATACCCTTGTAGAAGAGATGGTGAAGATGAGTGATGGGACTGGCAAACAAAAACTTGAGCAATGGAGATTTTTGTCATCACATTCACGACCATCTCGTAGAGGCCAGAATACTCTGGTGGGATTTAGGCAAGACTTGATGCGTACCACTTTTATATTTGTGCTTGGGTAACAATTTCTCAACAATATCATATTCGGGAAATTCTTCTTAGCCTTTTAGAGGACATTGGTGTTCTTAGTGATGAGTTGCGCAAAGAGCGTTATGAACAACTAAAAGAACGTATATACAAAAGTGGGCCGGAGATATCTAATTGTAGTGGATGATGTGTGGAGTACCAATGCTTGGAATGACATAAAAATGTTATTTCCAGATGACAATAGTGGCAGTCGAATCCTATTGACGACCAGACTAATACATGTAGCTGATTATGCCAGCTCAATTAACACTCATCACCTGATGCGTTTTCTAAACGAGGAAGAAAGTTGGAACTTATTTTATCAAAAGGCCTTTCAAGGACGATATTGCCCTTCTGCGTTGATGGATTTCGGAATGAATATAGTAAAAAATTGTCAAGGACTTCCATTATTAATTGTGGTGGTTGCTGGACTACTTGTGAAGGACAATAAGCCACTAGATTACTGGGAGTATGTTGCCGAAAATTTAAGCTCAATAACAGCAGAAAAAGATGACCACTGCTCAGAACAATAACTTGCCTTCTCATTTGAAGCCATGTTTTCTTTACATGGGAGTTTTCCCAGAAAGCTATGAGATTCCTGTATCTAGACTAATCAAATTATGGGTCGCTGAGAGATTTGTGGGCCCATTTGTAATTGAAACGGATAAGGTTGCAGAGAAATATCTTATGGAACTTAAAGGTAGAAATCTTATTTTGGTTGGACAAAAAGGATCTGCTAATGGAAAAACTAAAACCTGCAGAATGCATGATCTTTTGAAAGAGCTCTGCGTGAGGATGGCTCATGAAGAGGATTTTCTTTATGTCAAGAGCAGGCATCAGCGTTTCCTTCTAGAAGAGGCAAGTTTCAAGCGCCGTCTGAGTATTCACCATGATGCTTCATATAGTGGCAGTAAGGAGGACATTACAATGCAATCAATGTATAATGTCCGTTCATTTATTTATAATGGTTGGGATGATACTCGATTACATTCTTATTATTATTTTGGTTGTCGATTGCTGAAGGTATTGGATATGGTGGGATTAGAGCTTAGCGGGTTCCCACAGGAAATACTACTACCAGTTAACTTGAAGTACATTGCTCCCATTTGTCATTCTGTGATTCCAGCTTCTATTACTCTCCTTTGGAATCTACAGACTTTAATTATTGAAGATCCAGGGGGAATTGCAAGTGAACTGCCCATTGAAATTTGGAGTATGCAAAAGTTGAGGCATCTCAGATTCTCTCGAGTCTTCCTGCCTGCTCCTTCCTCGTTTTCCCCAAATGCTGAAAGTATTTTCCTTCTATAAAATCTAGAGACACTGTCTGTGTTAGACGATTTGGATTATGACATTAGTAAACTAACTTCAAACTTAAAGAAATTGGGAATTCATTATAATTCCAAGTCATCTCACTCTCTCAACCATTTTTTCCATCTCCAGAAACTAGAAACACTGAAGATTCTCTTTGACAGGCCAGCAGATTCCACTTTTGCTCGGAGCATCAATTTACCGTCAAGTCTCAAAAAGATAACTTTGAAGCGTGGTAGAATTGATTGGGAATACATGAGTATTTTTGGTTCCTTGCCCAATCTAGAAGTTCTGAAATTGCGTGAGTTTGCCTTCCGGGGCAGTGAGTGGTTACCAAATCAAGGGGAATTTCTCAAACTAAAATTCCTGTTCATTTGGGAGACAGATTTGGTGCACTTGTTACCAACAGTAATCATTTTCCATGTCTCGAGCACCTAATCCTAAGGAATTGCTCGAATTTGGTAGAGATTCCATCTAGCATTGGGGAAATACCGACACTTGAGATAATTGAGATAGATTCCTCCAGTCCCCCCGTTGTGGATTCGGCTAAGAGCATACTAGATGAGCAATGAAACCTAGGAAATGATGGCCTTCGAGTTTTCATCCATCCAACAAAAACAAAAGTCTATCCACTAAAATTTGGGGTAAATCAATTCCTCATCCTATAATTGTATTTTACTTTCTTAATTTTTGGATACACCATGGCTGATATTGATTAACCTGCCAACAGGTCCAGCAAGATGAATCAGGTCGCTTTCATAAACGTGAAACCAAACTTGAGGGTTTAAAGGTATAGATCAATTCCTTGACCAATATTTGTATGTTACTTCAATATTGATCACCAATACATGAAGCAAAATTGTCATAAAAAAATTAGGATCCATTTTGAAGTAGACTAGCATCATTTTAGTTAATAGTTGAAAACTATCAATGTCATCCCATTCACAAGTCTCTATTGAGCAACTACTCACCAAGGATTATGCAGTGTCAGGCTAAAAAAGCAAAGTCTGGAAGCAGCTCCCATTCTTAGGAAATTTTTCTCCAACTCTACCTTTGAAAATGGATTGACTGAATTCTGAAACGCAAAAACATTGGGAGATATCTCAGTAATCAACTCTACCTTCTTCCAACACCATAAATGCCTTTTTTAGTTTCATCACTTATGCAATTTCTTGTTTGTAATTTGACATTATTGAGATTGTATTCTACTTTTATAGGGTTTTTAGTTTTGGATTGTACTTTGTTATTTTGATTGTTCTGTACGACATTATTGATTTCGCTTGTCTTTACAGTATTTTATCTTTTTAAAATGAATGATTCAGCATTTGATGTGTTGTACTAAATTTCCAAGTTTTGTGATTTCCTGTTTGCATACTTATCTTTCTATTGAGTAATAAAACTTCATTCACTGTTTCACTAAGCAAAATGTGTGCACTTTCTTATGATCCTGTCGTGATTCTTTTATGATATTATAAAATGTGAATCATGTCCTTAGTATATGAACATGGGGGCACACACATATATTTGTTAGTACGCCTCTAACCAGTGAGAACAACATCAGCATATCCATCCCATTTCATATGTAATGTCAAATGGAACGGAACCTCGACTGAGCATGCCATGCATGATATGAGCCAAGTTTATTACAATAATTTGCTGTATTGTGTAACTTCATAAGATGTAATGTCATCTAATATTTTGTTCATCAAATGTCTTTTGATTGAGATGCTAAAATCGAGATATTACTTCTTACTGCATATTGTCTTGCTTAAAAGTACGTTTTAGGTGCTTATTTGTACGATACATATATAGCCATAATACATATTGTCCTTTTAAGTGGAGCTAGGGGTGAACACGATTCAGTTGGTCGATTTTTGAACTATTTTCTATTTAAAAAATCTCCAAACAATATCATTTCAATTTTCAAATCAAACTAACTTTTAAGGTTCTGTTTACTTAGTTATTTAAAGTTTACACATCTCAAATAAAATAAAACATAAAATCTTGGTTCTCGAAGCCATTGATAATACCTTGAAGTTCACTTACTCGTATATAGTAGCAATGGAGATGTTGAATTGGAGATGAACTTTTGTAGACATTCTCTAATTAGTCTGTACCAGTAGTGAGCACATATGTTGCATGTCTTATGTATAATATGAATGATAAGCATAATATTTCTAAAGCACTAATACAATTTTTGGAAGTAGTTTACATAATTGATATTGTTAAAGAAAAATTAAAATTGTTAAAAAGAATATATATATTATAAAATTACATATATAATGTGAAATTGTTGAATAAATTGAAATATACTATTTTGATTATAATAACTCTGTTTTATACACAATATTTTTTTCTCAACGTCTCACAACTTTACTTTTTTTATGCTTTTATTAAAACTTCTACTATTTGGATTGAAACTACGTGAAAAAGTGCGACATGTATGGACTTGGAAAGAAAGTGGAGAAATGATCCATGACGATTTTAGTCCAATAACGTAAGTGGAGAAGTTCTTTGTTCTTATTTTTCAAGAAATTCTTTCTAATTTTCAAATATTTATGTAAGACGTGTCTTAATATCATATAATTTGGACAAGTCGGAAGGAATATAAAAAATGATTTTTAGGGTGTGACCCTAATTCTATTTGGAAGATTTGGGAATTTTATTTTAAGTCGACTTGATAATTCTAGTTAAAGTCTATTTGAAATTCTAGTTGGAATTCAATTTTGGAGTATATGATTTGATTTGGAGTCCAATTTGCAATAGGAAAGGAAGAAATCATACAAGAAGAAGAAAGCATTGCATCGAACTCGCTGCGTGCTCAACATCCGCTTAAGCACTCAGAACAGGGGTGCCAGCGCTCGCTGTCCGCGAGGAGGTCGCTCAAGCGGTTGGCTATTGCTCGAAATCTGCCAGATCATCGCTTAAGCGGCAATCTGATCCGAGGAATGTTTAGATCGCTATGTTGGCATATTTTTTTAATCCTATCTTATCCTAAACACTCCAATATTGTATAGACTTGTTATACTTGAACTTCACCTCATCTTAGGCTCTTTTTTGCATTGTATATATGAGGGGTAAACCTCTAGAAAAATCAATGCTAACATTCTACACAATAATTTGTAATCTTCCATTATTGATATTAATATAATTCTCATTTTTTTTATTGTGGTACTTTTTACCACGTAATTCATGAGTTCGTGTTTGATCTTCATATTGCCATATTTCTTATTCCAGTTTATTATTTCTTAGCAAGTGGTAGCGATTCGGTATGAATTCTTAACAAGTGGCATCATAGACAGGTTCGATTAACTCAGTTTGAGATTTGGTTTTTTTGTAATGGCAACTATAAAGTATGATATTTTGCTTTTGGATCGCAACACCACATTTTCAATTTTGCGGGTAAAGATGTGACCAGTGCTCGCTCAGATTTATTTCGATGATGTGTTGTTGAAATTTAACAAGATATTCTCAACTTGGACTATGGAGGAAAAACAATGTAAGGATCGAAAGATCCTATCATAGATTCATCTTTATCTTTTGAATCATATTCTTTAGGACGTTTTAAAAAAGAAAATATCCTCTACATAATGGTTGAAATAGGTCATGGATGATGAAAAGTCTAACCAGCAAACTGCATTTGAAGCGACGTTTGAATTCTCATCATATGGCAAAAGGTACATTACTAGAAGATCACCTAGCTACTATTAAGGACATCATCATTGATTTGAAAACTTTGGAGGTTAAGAATGATGAAGAAGATTTAGTGTTGATATTGTTGTGTCCGCTACCTACTTCATACATGTCTTTTAGAGACGTGATCTTATATATTCATGATACTTTTACCATTGAAAAAGTATATGATGCTCTATTTTCAAAGGAGAAATACCTAGTTGGATCTGACTTGTTGCTCATTATGGTTATGTGAGGGTAGATTAAGGTCTAATTATAGTAATAAAGTTTGTAATTATTGCAAGAAATGGGGGCACATTAAGAATGATTGTTATAAGTTGCAAAAGAAGAATAAATTAGTTGTTGTAAATCAAAAGGAAAAACAACCAAAAATTTCAGGTGAAGCTGGTATTGTAGAAGATTGCTACAATCATGGAGAACTTTTGGTTATTTCTAACGGCAACTCCAAAACTGATAAGGATTGGATTCTTTGGAATTTGTTTCCAAAGGTGTTGGGGTAATAGGAAATAATACACCTTATAGGATAACCAGTATTGAGAGGTTCCAATTATATGTCTTACTTGGTTCTACAGAGTTTTTGGACATTATTAGCAAAATTTAGGAACTTGGGTGGATTTTATGTTTGACTTAGTACCGTCGGAGTTCGGTTTAGCATACTAAAGAATACATCTTAGTCAGGCTCAGAAGTTTAAAGATAAGTTTTGCCACCATCACCAGCGATGCCTCGGTATTCAATTCTTAGAGATAGACATGGGAGTGATACTAGGCCTCCACAAAAATTCGGTGCTCTTGTGGCTAATTAGAGAAACTTTGGTACACAAGATAATCTTGCTAACCAGTGCTTAGAATTCAGTTGATACTCAGTTATTGAGTTTGGTTTTTTGGAAGAGGTGGATAATTTTTTTGTTGCAGGATTTTTTGTGGAGAATTTTTCTTGAATAGTTAAATTTTACTCCTTACTGTGGAATTTGTCTCCGGGTGGAAAATTTTTGAAGTTTTTTCAGTGTAGTGGAATTCGTGTCAAGGTAAATATTTGTTAGAATTAAAGTGTGATCCAAATTCTATTTGTCAAACTATTTGGGAATTATATTTAAAGTCTAATTTGCAATTCTAGTTGGAATTCAGTTTGAGAGTTTAATTGGGAGTTGATGATTTATGTTGGGTTTGAAGAAGATTTTAAAGAGTCTAATTTGCAATAGGAAGGGAAGAAATCATGCAAGGAGAAGAATGCATCCCATCGGTGCTTACTACGCACTCGAAATAGGGGTGCTAGTGCTCGCTATCCGCGAGGAGGTCGCTCGAGCAGTGGGCCATCGCTTGACGTCCATCAGACCATCCCTCGAGCAACAGTCTTATCCTGTGAATGTTCAGTTCACGATTTTGATAGATTTTTGAATCCTATTTTTTCCTAAACACTCCGTTATTGTATAGACTTGTTATAGTTGAATTCCACTACATCTTATACCATGTTTAACACTATATATATGATGTGTAAATTTCTGAAAAAAGTTTTACCTACATTCTACACAATAATTTGTAATCTTCCATTATTGATATTAATAAAATTCTCCTAGTATTTTTTACGACGTAAATCTCATATTATTATTTGATTTTCATATTGCTATACTCCTCGTTCCAGTTTAGTATTTCTCTACAAGTGGTATTGGTTCGGTACATAATTCTTAACATTTTCTATAGAGTAAATTTCATGTGGTCACAGAATTCTGAATTGGCAAATTTCAACTTTAGTTTAGTTTGAAATTTTGCAACATAATAATCTAATACATATAAAATCTACGCAGAAAAAAAAAATACATATAAAAAACTGTTTTTTTACCAAAAAATAAAATAAAAAATACCTTAAAAAAAGCTCTTGGGCCTGAGGGGGGAGGGCTACAGCGCAACCCCCCCCCCCCCCCCCCCCCCCCCCCCCCCCCCCCCCCCCCACCCCCCAAAATCCAAATACACACAAACATATACACACACACACAGATATATATATATATATATATATATATATATATGAGAGAGAGAGAGAGTACTAGCTCGCTTAATTCCAAATTATTTTAATTATTCTAGTTAAATATTAAATTGCTTGAGTTTGAATCATGATGCCCATGCACAAAGATTACTGGATACAGGGACGGATCCAAGATTGGATCCACGACGGGGCTACAAAATTTCAAATCGGGCTACTACGTGGAAATTTTTTTTTTACACATAAAAAAATGATTTTTTACCCAAAAAAATAAAAAATACCTTAATAAAAAAAACTCTTGGACCTGGGGGGGGGGGGCTACAGCCCCCCCCCCCCCCCCCCCCCCCCCCAATCTGTCTCTGATCCACCATCCATTCAAACGTTACTGACGTGAATTTTGTTAAATTGAGAGCATGAGTATCAAAAAATACACAGTGAGATAAGTACAATTAAAAATTCCAATATAACATTAAAAATAAAGGAATTGTTGACCATACAATCATAATTAACAAATTCCTCTCACTTAGTCATAATTTTTTCGTGCTACGCTCTCTGATCTATTGTTCAAACAGGAGCAAAAGGGAAAATGATTATATGAGAGGAAGATATTTGAATTTTCATGCCTTTATTCTTTTAGAAGGGACTAATTATAGATTTTGTCATGGTTTTGGAAGTTGAAGGTAACGGGGTCTTTTCAGTGAATGACAAGTGGTGGGTTTGTAACTAATTTTGTTATACACTTCATGTATTGTTCATTAACTTACGCGTCCTATATTCATTGGTTTTAAAGTTATGCTTGAATTATTTACGCACACATGTTGCTTTGTGATTTCTCCTTGGGAGGTAGCTCACCTTCTTATGTGTGAACTCCTGAATTTACTCTTAGCCTCGCGCTTTCAAGTTTCGCATAGGAAGATTACATTTTTTATTGTTCATTTCGTCTTATATATCCTTGTTCAATAAATAGTCCCTTAAGTTCGAGCGTAATTATTTATATTTGCACTACGGACTTGATATCCTGTAATTTTTTAGTTTGGTTGTATGCATTCAATGATAATTAATGTCCGGTTAGATGAAATATAAAAGGCCAGTATTACGGCAAAGGAAGGTCATTCTCTGCAGCCCTCCCTAAATCCTGTGATGTAACAAACTGCTTGTATCAAGTAGTTGATCGGATTTGTGCTGAAGGTATTTCAATAACTGGAGATGGAAGTAAATTTTGATAATGTTAGCAAACACATAATTCTTCTATACATTTTGTCCCTTCTCAATTATGGATGCAGTTTATATTCATCTAATTTTCTTGAAATAAAACAAATGGAACATCTTTATGTTTATTAATGTTCGTTTTGAACTGATCTGGTGAAAGACTGATGTGGATGAAGACTTCTCATTTCAACAACCCTTGATTCTCATTACAAAGGATGTCAATGAACAATCGAAAATAATGAAGGACGAGAAGAAAAAAGCCCAACGAGTATAGGGTAAAGGAATTAGATGGAGAAAATGAAAGCTCCAGTAATGTTATCTAGTACCAGTGATCTTACACCACCGGTCTAAGTGACATTAAATAATAGGCACAATTAAATGAATCAAATAATTCTAGATTTAATTGAATCTATCAGATTATGACACTTAGACTAGTGCTCTAACATTAGTGATGCTAAATAATGGTATACATAAAAGAATGATAGATGTAAATAGCCACACATTTTTATTTTTATTTTTAGTTTTAACGAATTGTGGGTAGTGGACCCCACTCGTGCAAATAGCATTACTCCGCATACATGCATACACGAGAGCCAAAGAGGTGAAGGGAGAGCTGCTGACTCCAATACCAAATATAAATGTGAGATTATTTTGTTTTCTATTTCATACAATTACAATCAGTCTGGCTTAGATGTTGAAGCATGTAATGTAATATTAGGTACACCCAAAGCTTCAATACCGTTATGGTCTAGTGAAAACTGTGCACCAATGTGGATGTCCACAAGAATACATATGAGAAACGCAGCAGCTGCGGTGGACAATCACAGAAAGCTTTTCGTCGCTGCAAAATGGAAAAGAAGGGAAAAATTGTTGAACCCTTGGGACGCCCAAGTATTACACGCAGCAGATCACCTTGCCTCAAAATCTGACAGAATTAGAAAATAATGATATGACAATAGAAACTACATTATTAGTATGAAGAAACTTGTATTTCCAATAATCCTCCTTGCTTAAATAAATGGCAGTTTATAGACTTTAATCAGATATACGGCAGGGGAAAAAAAATCGTATTTGAATAACGTGAAAAGATAGAGGTATCAGTAGATGACGCTTAAATATATAATAACATTACTATTGACTAGAATACCAGGTGAAATCCTTGAGTAACCAAAGAAACCTAAAGGAAATTTTTGGCAGCAATTTATAGTAATTAATATAAATAAAAGAACTGGGGTAACATTTTCAGCAATATTTTTGAAATTATAATTCTTCTTTTGATTTGCTTATTAGTAGAAAAGCAAGATTTAAGGACATAGTTTGGCCAGAAGAATGCAGTTGCAGAAAGTGCTTTTCATGACTTGTTGCATCGAGTTAAAATAAACAATAAAATATCTTTGGTCACATGGGAGGTTAAAAGATGCAGGCTTGAAAAAGGAGTCGGGAATAGGAAATCCAAAACTTACCTTGCTTAGAGTCACTATTCTTCTGTGGAACAGTTTTTTCCAAGAACTCTTGAATTGTGCTCCAATATCGATCACCACCAGACAACCATGTATCCATATGCATGCCATTAGGGAATTCAACAAATGAACATTGCTGATTGCGTGCAGCTGCTTTAGCATATAACATCTGCATGTGGGACGGTGGAACCATTTCATCTTGCAGTCCAGAGAGGAAAAGAATTGGTTGTTTGATCTGCAATTCAAAACGTCAGCAGAAATAAGAACAATATTTAGCTGAACAGACAAGATTTTACCTGTCTGCATTTATTAATCTTGCCTCTTGAACCTAGAAATCACATTCTATCCAAAACTTACATCATGTGAAAGTCGACTGTAAATGTAGAAGGGTGCAGGAAATAAATTATGTCAACTTTGTAAACATAAAACAAACTTGCCATCAGATACCTCTCTGCGTATCTTCCTAATAAAACATCAAAATTAATATCAACTGAATCACATGCCATAAAAAGGCTCACCATATGCTTTGCCTACATGTATTTCTTTAGCTACTCAAAGGTGTATAGTCTGAAGGTGATTCCAAAGAAGTCAAAAAATTAGACCTTCCAGGTCATGGAAAATAACTGCCAGGTATGCTACGAAGTATCTTCATAATAATAGCAGAGATTCAGAATAAGAGTAGCACGACTTGCAATCTCACCTCACCAATGACATCAATGGTGTTCCATGGAGAGCGAACCAGAAAATTAAGAAGTCGGGGACCCTTTGAGCTACTTTTCCCAATAAACCATTTAAGAAAGGGTAACAAAACGCCAGCCATATCCAGGATAGAAGTAAAAGTGTTCTCCAATATTATTGCAGCCACCTGCAATAATCGATACACCAAAGTTAGTGTGAGTCAAAATTGGCATATCTCATATTTAAACTAAGAATTAGATTAAACCGATTTAGTATGAGAGGACTTCCAGAGATAAGTACAGAAAAATGATATCTTGATTGAATGGACAAAGTGATGAAAAAGGACATTGGCACAAATAAACCATACATAAAAACAAACCACAAAGAGCAGTACAATAATATTATCCAGATGGAACATGCAGTGCATAAGATGCACCAGGTAACAATTATCCCAACACTTATCACTTATAACATAAAACCATTCTGACATTCTGATGGCTTATTCGAATAAGTTGAAGTTAAGAAATGACTTGGTTGACAAAGTAGGCGAAACTAAAATATACCAAGAGAATAACCAGAACCTACTTGTCCAAGTAGCATTACTACCCACTACCCAGTAAATGGGAAAACAACTATCCATATGCTTTGAAAAGATTAATTTGAGAGAGAGAGAGAGAGAGAGAGAGAGCCTGCTCAGAACAGAAACAAAAGGCAACATAAAAACGTTAACTATAAACCAAGCGCTAACACATCTGTTCTAGCGGATGAGAAATTTATAATGTACAAAATGCTATCCCTCCTTACATTTTTTCAATCTATATCCAACTTAATCAATTTCTTGTGCATAAAATCAAGCAATTTTCTGATTTATCATCAAGCTTGTTATTGCTTTTCAATTCATGCTTCCAGCTACTAATGAAAAGATAAATAGCAATAAGAACCATAAACTTGTAGGGAAAAAGTAGCCTTATATTTAAAGTTCTAAGAACTTCAACCAATAATTTTGATGTTAATGATTCGCAGAGCCCAATTCAACCTTCACAAACACACGTGCACACGCATGCACACCCCACCCAACAAAGAAAGAAAGAAGAAAATAGTTAAAATAAATAAAACTGTCATATACAATATAAAAGAAGTTTCTTCTAAAGAAGACTTTCTACCAAATAATGTTATATTGGAAGGGAAAGAGGCCATGCTTTTATTTTGAATTGGATGTTTTTGATAAGAACTTCCAAAAATTACCACACTTGACAGAAGATAAAATATTTATAGGAATATTAAACTAGAACCCATCATCATAGACCCCAACCCGGTTACCCTTTACACAACGAGTCTGTTTACTTTAAGTATCCCCCAGCCACCACCCTCATCCCTACACTGGTTCTCAGCTTTTTCTCTGACCAAGCAAGAGTCTGCGCGGACTTTAAAGCTACTATCTTGGAAATAATCATGAAAATGCTTATTCCCTATACAGATAAACTTATAATAAACTTAAAAAAATAAAAAATTGAACCAAGAAAAAAGGGGAACTTCAATAAAAGCAAACCTGGAATCATTACCTTGTCAGGGTTGTTTTTGGTAAGCACAGCTCCAACAGCTCCCCCAAGTGACCTTCCAAAGACTATTATTCTTGATGTGTCAATATCTGTCCTCTGAAACAAATGATCCAGTGCAGCCTGCTCAAACAGAAGATGCCATTATTACAAACTATTCGTGTTTACTTTATCCCCCATCCCCCAAAAAAAGTTAATAGGAAGTGAAAGAAAATGATGATAGCACCCATTGCAAGAAGTTGAAATGCCATGTTAAGTTAAACCCAGTGGCCAGAAACAAACCTGAGCATCCTTTGTAATACCAAGTTGTGAAGAGAATCCCTCACTAGCTCCATAACTGAGTACCACAAAATCAACAAAACAGATATTCAGTTAGATAGGTATTCACCTAGTTAACAACATTACCTGACAAACCATCTAAAGGAAAAAACTACAATAACTTACCCTCTGTATGAAAGCATGAAAACATTGCATTGCAGTCTCTGTAACATTATGCGAACCATTTCAAGACGATGGGCGATGTCTGCATTTAACTAGTCAAGGCCTCAAACGAAAATAAATCTAACAAACAAAATTCAAAAAAAGTCTGCAGATGCAAGAAAAGGAACAACAAAATATTTTGAGTTTTCAGAAAACAAAAGGATACTTCCAGCATTTTCCTGGAAAAAGAGAATGGTAGGACCTGCAAACCCAATGACATTAGGAACTAAGTGCAGTGAATCCCATTAAGACGTTACCAAATTACTTTATGCAATCCACAATATAAATAAGAATAAGAAAAAAAAATTGATATACTCAACAGCAGCTGACATTTCCCTTTATGCATTTACTATTTTTTTTCTCAAGAGCTCTACTTACAACAACTATCATCTCTTCGAACTGTTCTTTTAATATTTCCTTTTCGTGGTTGAATTGAATGTTATTGGTGCCTAATTCCTTTAAATTCACTGTTCCCCGAATCATCAACGGCATAATGCTACACAAAACTTCACAGGCTTATTGTGGACCTTCACACTTTAAAAAAATGCTTGGAAAATACACCAACTTTCATAAGAAATTGATCAACACTTGCTAATACCCCAAGTGACTGCAATAATACTAACCTCACATACAAAAGCATTATTTCTAATTTCTATCGATCCAACAGTATGAAGTTTTAGTCCTACTTTGCTAAAACCCACTTATCTTGCTACCAAAGAAAAAAAAAATTGAAAACAAAAGTAAAAGAATGAAACTCAATCACACCCATTTACTAGCCCTCCAAGTATTCCCTACTGAACTCAAATCATCTCAAATCAAACTAAGCTGCAGTCTAATTGTGGTCTTGAGGTTGGAATCAGAAAAAATCCCTTCAGATTCAAAATCATTTCTCCTGGATTCCGCTCCCACACCAGCAATCATATTTTTCAAAGAAGTCAATGAGCCGCGCCCAAACTACACAAAAATCACCATCCAAATCAAATCAAATTATGATCAACTTCTAAAAAACCCTAAAATTTAATCATTAATCAAACACCTTGATCCCACCTACAATTACGCTTAAATCAAAACACGTATGAACACAGTTAAATTAAATTCATAGTTAAGACCTCGGCAGTCGGGGAATAGCTTGATGAACCAGGAATGGAGTCTGACGCCATCGGAGGATCTGAGCCACACATCCTCGTATAGGAGGCGGAGGCGGGCAGGGGTCATAGGATAGGACTTGGTTAAACCAGGCACTACCGGCACATACACTAACTTCTCCTGGAACGCCACCAGCAAAGCCATCCCCGCCACCACTATTCCACCCACCCCATACAGCAACACGCTCACGTACGACACCATCTCCCTTCGTCGCCTCTTCCAAATCACTTTCTCTCTCTATATAGACGTGTATGTATATGTAAGCATGTAGGGACTTGAATTTTATAGTGGCAAAAGGGAATTGCAGGCACTGCAAACACGATGGCTGTGAAATTGTGCCAGTTCAACTTCTCGCTTTTCACACTTCTCTATGGGGGGAATGAGTTGGTGAATTAAACGACGACGTTCGGAACAAAATTTGGAAAAGTCGATTAAGGCCCCTTTGAGTCCATTAATTCGGAGAAATGCATTGTGAAATAATGATTGATAGAGAATGTGTGACTAAAAAAAAGTAAGATTTTTTTTTATTAATATGTAATATTATTTTAATTAAAAATGAATACTGTGGAAAAAATAATGAAAAGGAATGTACAATAAAGGATGACAAACTGGGACTATATGGAAAAAATTGCTACAATTAAAATCGACGATTATTACAATTTTCAATAAAGAATTTTTTTTATATATATTTTTTAGTATAAAACCATTGAATCGAAACCAAATTTTGAGGAATAAATTCCTTAAAGCTCAAGTTTCGTCAATCACAAAAATTAAGAAATTCAAAATTCAAAAGTAATTCATGATAAAATCAAGCTATATCACCAAAATATGACACTCGCATAAGTTGAGTTCTCGAACAATTAAACTTGTGCTTTTATATTCCAATTGAAATTGATATCACTTTTATTGTCACTTCTATTAAAATCAATGTGAGAGTAGTTTTGAGACTCGATTCAATAATTGCTCCGAAAAATATTAAATTATCGAACAACATTTGACATAAACCAACAAACGAGCTGTCAAATTGGCCAACTAGTGGGCTAACGGAAGAGTTGATTTACAGATTTTGAACATCTTTGGCATAAATTTTTCAGAATTATAAGTTGATCAAAAAAAAATTTAGCTACAGATTCCTTAAGATCCACGAATTTTATATACTTTCATAACAATACATTCTTTGAAATAAGTACTTAAAAGCAAGCAATTTGAAGAAGATATTTCTTTTGCAGGTCATAAGGTTATCGAGGATGACGAAAATAAATAAGTGTAAAATTGAGTAACAGTCAAGAAAAAAAGAAGCCCAATTTAGTTCCTTTAATTTAATAAGATAAAAATCGAATTATCAAATGGTTACTTATTATGAAATTACACTAAGTAGTTATGCAATTATAAATGTCTTTGTTTGGGATATATCATTTGAAGCGAAAATAAATTATTATGAAGAATGTATGATTCAAAAGTAAGAAATTATAAATGCACGTGCATAATTATATTAATGAAAATGTACAATTGAATATGAGTTTAAACGAAAAATATTTTTCAACTAAGTTGGGTTAAAGTGTTAAACAAGCTCTTCTTTGCTTAAAAAAAATAAAAAGTAAATAAATAAATAAATAAATAAAATTCAAGATTCTCAAGATTCATGAACCCTTTTTATCCCGTCACTATTGAACATGCACTTTTTCCATTATTGGGTTAAATAAGAAACATTTAGGCAAGGGTATTTAGTATCAAAGGTTCTTATATTTCAATGTTATTGTGCAAAACGTTCATACCTTTCATTTTTTGACATTTTCGCCGTTATTTCAACGTTTCATTGTAGAAAATGTCATTTTCACCATTTTTTATTTTAAAATGACTAAAATACCTTCCTATTTAAATAAAACAAAAAAATAAAAAGAAAAATAAAAAATAAATTACAATCTTGCTCCTAAATATTTTAAAAAGTACAAGTAAGTCCAAATAATTATTAAAAGATCTAATAGTACAAAACGTTAATACGTTTGACTTATAGTGTACAAAACGTCATTACATTTCAAATTGGTGAAAATGACGTTTTCTGTAATGAGACGTGAAAATAATGATGAAAACGTAAAAAAAAAAATATATATATATATATATAATGAAATATATGAACGTTTTCGACAAGAAGTGTCAAATGTAGGGATTTTTTTGCTATTAGACCTTATAAAAATATTGAAAATTACAAAGGAAACTCTCTCTCTTCTATTCTTCTCCAAATGGGTCAACTACCTTAGAAGTCAAAAAACTCCAGCGACCCACCACCCAAACTGCTGGACCACCATACCACCGAAAAAGCCCTCAATTCACTCTATACATACCACCCAATGTCCAACCTTGAAACCTTCATGTTAATAGATTTATTCGGAATTGCAAACCAATATATCCAACTTGCGAATGCAAATACTAGCAGCATTACCTATTTTTTAGAGACCCATGTTATTTCTAACACACCAATCGACTATTCTCACTAGGACGCCTCTCTTCATGGTCTTAAAATATCGACAAATGGTTCAACAGTATGGAGGTTCGGCGATGGTTAGTTGAAGTTTTTTCACTTCTAATGTAACAGTCACATTTGGAGAAGAAGATAGAGAGAGAGAGAGAATTTTGTTATTTTTAATATTTTAATAAGGTTTAATAGCAAAAAAATCTCTAGATTTAACACTTCTTGTGGAAAACGTCCCTACGTTTCAATTTTTTTTACGTTTTTATCCATATTTCAATGTTTTATTGCACAAAACGTCATTTTCACCAATTTCAAACATATGGACGTTTCCACCATATAAGCCCAACATATGGATCTTTTGTGCTATTAGGCTTTTTAATAATTATTTGGACTCACTTGCACTTTTTAAAATATTTAAAATTAAGATTGTAATTTATTATTTAGTTTTCTTTTCTTTTTTTTTATTTTATTTAAATGAGAGGGTATTTTGATCATTTTACATTAAAAATGATAAAAATGACGTTTTCTACAATTAAACGTTGAAATAAGAGCAAAAATGTTAAAAAATGAAAGGTATAAACGTTTTACACAATAACATTGAAAGATATGGACCTTTTGTGCTAATTACCCTTTAGAAAAATACTATTTTGAAGGAGGAAAAAGCCATGAGTACAAGAAATTCTTGACAGAATTCCTATCGAAATTAATTTGGTCGTAGATAATTGGATTATTTTCTTTTTTCTCTTTCCATCTTCCAATCAATTTTTGTCATGTGCTATCTATCAAAGTTTTCTTTCAAATTTTATTGTACTTGTAACATAATTGTTTGAAGGAAGGTTACAAAAAAACTAGCAAAATCTAAAATAAATAAATAAATAAATAAACTTATAAACAAACATTAAATAGATCAATAAATCATTTCAGTAGCAAATACTATGACAAAATTTTTATCCATGATTAAAATTAGAAGAAAAATAGAAATCTTTCATATCGTTAATATCCCACTTCGAGTAAAGTCAAAAGAGCCTAGTAGCCGCCTTTATTGTGACAGAGAGAGCTTCTAAAAAGGAACGTTCAATCCTATCTCCAAAAAAAAATAATAATAATAATAAATTAAATTAAATTAAATTAAAAAAAAACATAAAAGACTTTAGGCTATAAAAAAAAAGACAAAAAACCTAATAGCCAATAATTAAAAAAAAAAACTCAAAAAGGCAACGGCCAACAAGCACTGGCTTAATCGCCAATGGCTGAGGCTTTGTAAGTGGAAGCATAAACCGTGAAAAATGATTCTTGAGTCATAACCTTCAATGTGTTTATTGAAGGCTTTTATATAAAGGATGGATCTTGGATTGAATTAAAGAGAGGATTGTAACGTGAAAATTTTTTTTTCATGTAAAAAACAGCCCAGCCCCCCTGTCTCTGCCTTATATGAAGCAGACTTTGGAGTTAACAAACTTAATATCACCCAACCGAAATCTAGAACCTCTCAGACATATCTAATATTTACGTCCAACCTATATAAATTAATCTATTAGTCGAGTATTTTTAGCACAAAACCTCTAAAACTGAAATAACGAAGCCAAGGATGAATTGCCTGGCTGTTGGGAGCCTTGCACATTATAAGTTCTCACCGGGCTATTTCCATAGTAGACAAGGCCACTAGTGCCTTGCATGGAAACAACCACATTGGACTGGTTAGTTGAATACCTACTTTCCGGCTGTGAGAAAATAACATCCACATTGCTGACCCTTGTAGCTTCGATTGGAGTATCATTCTTGCTAGCTTGAACGTGATGCGAGTACTCCATACTCAGGGAGTTGGAGGGATGAGTTGAGTCGAACTATGAGGTTTCTTTGTGCTGAGAAAGCGTCAACCCGACCCTCTAACTCTATTTAGAGCATGAAGATGTCGAGGCTTCGTCCAAATACAGCTGCTAATGGCATATACAACTGCTAATGGATTAGAAGGATGGAAATTCAACCATTCAAATTCACATTGGACAAAATCATGACAAAGGAAATGTTCTATCTTAAAAAATCAACATTGTTTAGAGAAGTAATTCAAGACCTTATTAGTTGGTCTATGTTTCCATTTTTAATCGATGTGGAATTTTTATCACTTAACATGTCCCTGCAAGATGGTGGCTCGTTTAAGCAGACCGATATTGAAATCCATATGCTCATTTATTGAGTCTTATTCTAATCGAATAGCTTGTTAGAGCCCAATAGACTCTAATATCATGTCAAGATTTAGGGTTTTATTTTAAAAGATCAACTTTGTTAAGAGTAGTTCAAGACCTTATTAGTTTGTTTATGTTTCCATTTTTAATCAATATGGAATTTTTATCCCTTAATACTTTGCATGTGTCTTCTCCTTCAGAGTATTCTATGATATTTTTTAGCATTGACATATATGGGACCATCATCTGGCATATCAACAGGCAGTGGCACTCGAATAGAGGCTGCACTCATAACCTGAGACTAAGCCCCCATTTGGCAGATACAGCTGCTAATGGCAGATACAACTGCTAATGGATTAGAAGGATGGAAATTCAACCATTCAAATTCACATTAGACAAAATCATGACAAAGGAAATGTTCTATCTTAAAAAATCAACCTTGTTTAGAGAAGTAATTCAAGACCTTATTAGTTGGTCTATGTTTCCATTTTTAATCGATGTGGGATTTTTATCACTTAACATGCCCCTGCAAGATGGTGGCTCGTTTAAGCAGACCGATATTGAAATCCATATGCTCATTTATTGAGTCTTATTCTAATCGAATAGCTTGTTAGAGCTCAATAGACTCTAATATCATGTCAAGATTTAGGGTTTCATATTAAAAGATCAACTTTGTTAAGAGTAGTTCAAGACCTTATTAGTTTGTCTATGTTTCCATTTTTAATCGATATGAAATTTTTATCCCTTAATACTTTGCATGTGTCTTCTCCTTTAGAGTATTCTATGATATTTTTTAGCATTGACATATATGGGACCATCATTTGGCATATCAACAGGCAGTGGCACTCGAATAGAGGCTGCACTCATAACCTGAGACTAAGCCCCCATTTGGCAGATACAGCTGCTAATGGCAGATACAACTGCTAATGGATTAGAAGGATGGAAATTCAACCATTCAAATTCACATTGGACAAAATCATGACAAAGGAAATGTTCTATCTTAAAAAATCAACTTTGTTTAGAGAAGTAATTCAAGACCTTATTAGTTGGTCTATGTTTCCATTTTTAATCGATGTGGGATTTTTATCACTTAACATGCCCCTGCAAGATGGTGGCTCGTTTAAGCAGACCAATATTGAAATCCATATGCTCATTTATTGAGTCTTATTCTAATCGAATAGCTTGTTAGAGCTCAATAGACTCTAATATTATGTCAAGATTTAGGGTTTCATTTTAAAAGATCAACTTTGTTAAGAGTAGTCCAAGACCTTATTAGTTTGTCTATGTTTTCATTTTTAATCGATGTGGAATTTTTATCCCTTAATACGTTGCATATGTCTTCTCCTTCAGAGTATTCTATGATATTTTTTAGCATTGACATTTATGGGACCATCATCGGGCATATCAACAGGCAGTGGCACTCGAATAGAGGCTGCACTCATAACATGAGACTAAGCCCCCATTTGGCCCCCTTTTCGTAGAATGGAAAGGGATGTAACAGTGTTTTTCTGAAAAATGAATAGTTGAAAAAGAAGGAAAAGTTTTCAATTTACGTGTAATATTATTTTATGATAAATTGTGTGGATGAAAATAGGAGAGAAAAAAATAGAATATAATGAAATAAAAATTAACAGGGGCCAAACGAAGCTGAATCTAATCAAGAATTTTGAAAATAATAACATTGTAAGCAAAGCATTAATTGAAATCAAAACAAGAATTCCTATTTTAATGTAAATAAACTTCGAGTTCAGAAAGAAAAAGAATAGTTTCTCCGTGACTTCCAATGAGTATTTCTGTTAATAAGACGAAGCAGCAAATAATTACAGTAAAAGTTTCAACACATTTATAATGCGATAATTGCATTTATCATGGTATGAGGTCCGTCGGCAGTGTATAACCCGTTGAGGTAATGGTCAGAGTAAGCATATGGATTCTGCATCTGTAGAAAGTTAATAGTAGCAAGTCTCTTAAGTAAGAGTAGTTTTAAAAATTAAGTGACTTTTTTTAGTTAAAAGTAAGAAAAAATAAAAAATCAAACAAGTTTGGAAAATAAAGTAACTTTTACCTTTTCTCCAGCTTGGCCAAAACATGTCATCGGCAGCAGCAGTGAAAATTGTTTTTATCAAATAAATGAACTATAAAACGAAAAGGACAAAGTTAATGGAAAGTCGATACCACCTGAGTCCAACAAAGCACATTGATCCTGAGAACTTGTCTTTTCCATCACAATCACTTTGTGACAAGAGCCTGTTGATCGAGTCGAGGACGAGTGTTGATCCTGGAGTTGAAAACTTCGATGTTAAGAAGGATATTCTGCTTTTGAACGGATGTTTTTCGATGATGTCTCAGCTAACTTTTCGTGGAAATTCTGCCAAGACGAGCAATTAATAGTAAACGAGGCATAAGTATACTAAACATGAGGATGTTCATTCACACTTTTCTTTGGGTAAGTTTTATACGTACAGCCATTACTTAGTAAAGTAGCCAAATCCCAAGGCATAACATAAGCTCTAAAAGCAACGATGGACACTTCTGGATTCACATTAGGCATTCGCTGATTGAGAAAAGGATAACATGAATACATTGGGTCACATCGATCATCTTGTATAATAGAGTTTATATAGCAGTATCGGAGCCTAAACCGGCATTTATGAATCAGTTTGGGGAATAAGAAGCAAAGAGTGGTGCACGGAAATAGGCACAATTTGCACAAAATAGTGAAATCTTACTACCAATTTTACTTGTGTCTAGCATTATTCGCATTGAAACTCATAAGGGAAAGAGGCCATCATAGAAAAACTCAAAAGAAACTAACATTCAATTTTTCCTTCTCCCATTCATTTTTTTCCATAATAGCAATGCAGTTGTAGATTGAGCAATCTTTCATTTCTTGATGTTTATCAAAAACAAAATCATTGCAACAAAGACTTCAGTGACTACAATAAACAACCTAGAGAAAATATATCTACCATGGTCTCATTTATGAAATAAACTATCAATCTACTCAAGCAAACCAAAAGGAATGAGATATTACATTTCCAAGTCTCTGGGATCTCACGAAGAAAAAATCGAATAAAGCAACATAAAAACCAGGCAGCAACCCAAACCTGAGCATAAAATTATCTTGTGATCACAATATCAATATGAAAAGGATAAAAAATCTATATATTTGCATAAAATAAGTTTGTATATCATAACAAATGACGAATTAAAAAGATTCACTTCCACTCACAAGCTAGACAAAGAGGTCCACTTATATTCGCCAGCCCAAGCGAACATCATATGGTTTGGTCTTTGTTCAATTTAAGTATACAACCATCTAGAAATAGTATTTGACGTCCAACATCATTAACAACAAAACTTTCATCAATGTGCTTATTAAACTTAAATACATATTCAAAAAAAAATTGAGAGTAAAGTTCGTAATTATATCAATGTTACAAACAACTCAAATTTAAACTAGTGGATTTTGATTCAATATAGAAGCTCGTGAATTTTTGTTTTATAATGTGATCTTAGAAGTAATGAAGTAATCACTTACCAAGAACGGATTACCTATTCATGGAATATTAGAAGGGATATTGTTTAATTTAGTTTCCAACTTTGAATGTTTATTTTAGGAAACATAATTACAGTTTGATTTTATAGCATTTCTTACCTAGAGTAAGATCTTTTTTCAAACCCTATGTAAGGGTTTTGCATTGTAATAAGATAATCTTCGATAATCCCCATTTTCATTTTTCCATCTCCTGTTCTTCTTAACTTACAATCTCCCTCCTACTACATTCCCCCCTTCTATTTCTCTCTCCATTCTTCTCTTATCTCCCATTTCCCTTATCCTCTAATTCTCGTATTGTATCCTGCATCAATTTGGTATCAGAACAAATTATCTTCCTTTGACCAAACAAAAGTCTCTTCAAAAGCCATAAACCAAACACCACAAAATGTATAGAAAAACCTCCGCCCAAAACTTTAAAACAACACAACATAAAAAAGTAGGTAGCAGCAGCAGTAGTTTTTTTCCCAGTTGTTTTTAAGTTATTCGTTCTTAGTAAAAAAAAAAAAAAAAAAAAACAATGGAAAATCTGCCGTGTAGTTTCTACTTGCTGCTTTCTTATTATTGCTATTGTTCATAGTGCTGCTCTATAAACTGCTGTTCTAAAAAAACTCCTTATAGCCTACAAATAACAGCCCCACATTCAGCTCGCTATAAACATTCACATATATACCAGCCGAAAGGCCAAACCTCACAACACACAAACCTTATAGCCGACTAAACACCATGTACAAGGCTTGTGACGCCCCGAGCTATGGGGGCTCATGACATTTCAAGGACCTTAAATTTGTAAAACTCTGTCTAAATGGTTTATGAAATGTGAAAATTTAAGTTGTACTAAAAGCATTAAGGCTTCAGAGAATTTGTTATGAAGTTAAAGAAATTTCCTTCCGGAAAGTATAGATCTTCAGCTTGTACGACTTTCTTAAATAAATCCCGTTCGACATCCAAATGAAATCCAAAATCTAGAAAATTTAAATTGTAGTCATGTTATACCTAGGAGAATTTCAGGTTAAAATTTTGTGAACAAATTCAATTGATAGGTCGGCCAAAATTATTTCCTAAACAGGATCTATTGTTCTCGAATAATTTCGGGCAATTCTCAGAAAAACGTTCATAACTTGAGTTTTACACATCCAAAGTTCGTGATTCAAAATCTGGGAGATAGATAACTCAAATGGATATCATCTCCAACTAGAATCACCTCAAAATTCTGAGTATTTAGGTCTAGGCAAACTTTTAAACTTAGTCTAGAAACTGGAAATATTTAGATCCTGTGTTGTACCTCAAATGAATGGGATAAACCACCATAACAATATTAAGCAATTTCATTGTCAATTCAGTTTTCAAGCTTTCAAGAAACAGTAATTTAAAATATTCCAAGTAATTTAAAATATTCCAAGTTTATTGACCATAGCACAAAGTTAAAAATAGTGGGCAGAATTCTGAAATCTTCTTCAAAGAAAACACACACGAACAATAAAACCTTTCCGTTTCAAAACATGAATTCAATCTACAATCTCAAGGAAATCCAATGATTGTTAAACATGAAAGTGACAATTTAATGCTGGGAATAGTTTGAAAACAATGGCAGTAGAATAAAACTAGAAGAAGATAATCACAGCACAAGAATTCACAAACTGCAGAGGATTTTATTGCCTGAGGAATTACACACACGCACACAGCCTTTTGAAGTGCTCACAGATATATATATATATATAGCCATAGCCACACAACCAAAAAATGGAAATAAAAGAATACATATAAAGCAACGTGTAAAAGACAGAAGCTCTAATATTCTTGGACTTGGACTTGGGTAGACATCATCTAGGCTCCACAGAAAAAGGCCCAACACTTAGAAAACAGGCCCAACAAATTCTCCCACTTGGAGACTAGATCAACCAATGCATCACCATCTCCCTCAGAAATGAATATCCTCCACCTCTACAACTTATGACTTTGCCTTCAGACCAAAAGACCAACCGAAGTTGTGCATAACTTCAGTTTCTCGAGTGTAACACCCTTTGTCGGCATATCAACAGGGTTCTTGCTTCCACAAATCTTTTCAAGTATCAACTAACCATCGTCAAGTAAGGACCGAATGAAATGATACCTGATCTGAGTGTGCTTTATCCTGGAATGAAATGTCGGATTCTTGCAAGGAATATGGCACTTTGACTATTGCTATAACAGTTCTTCCAAGAAGTTTTGTAGCGAAATAATCTCCTTTAAAGTTTCTGACACTGCAACATACTCTGCTTCTGTAGTAGATAAAGACTCTGTCTTCTACAGATTAGAACCCCATGAGACGGCAATACCACCCAAAGTGGAAACAAAACCAGTGGTGCTCTTTCTACTATCACCATCTCCGACCAAATCAGCATCAACAAACCCTCGTAACTCCAGACTTTTTCTGGTGAAACACAGACATGCTTCTATGGAGCCTTTTAGGTACATCAAAATCCATTTCACAGCCTCTCAATGTTGTCTTCCTGGGTTACTCATGTATCTACTTACAGCTCCCACTGCATGGGCGATGTCTAGCATTGTGCAAACCATAACATACATTAGAGAACCGATAGCTGAAGCATAAGGAACCTTATCCATGTATTCGTATTCCTCTTTTGTTTTAGGTGACTAATCTTTGCTGAGTCTAAAGTGACTTCCCAACGGTTTACTGTTCATGTTAAATCTACTGAGTACCTTTTTCATGTATTCAGCCTATGAGAGTCTCAATGTACCCTTGACTCTATCTCTAATGATCCTAATACCAAAAATTTGTTTGGCAGCACCCAAATCCTTCATTGTAAACTATCTTGATAATTGTTTCCTCAGATTTTTGATCTCCACAATGCTGGACCCTGCAATGAGCATATCATCCACGTATAACAATAGAATGATATAAGAGTTGTCAAAATGCTTGACATAGCAACAGTGATCTTCCTGACATCTGATATACCCTGAGATGCACATGAAGTTGTTAAATTTCTTGTACCACTGTCTACGAGCTTGTTTCAAATCGTACAAGCTCTTTATTAGTTTGCAAACCAAATTCTCTTTGCCTTGCACTATGAACCCTTTAGACTGGTGCATGTTGATGTCTTCTTTTAGATCCCCATGAAGAAAAGTTGATTTCACGTCTAATTGTTCAAGATGTAAGTCTTCAATAGCAACCATTGCCAATACTAGCCTGATGGTCGTGATCTTTACCACAGGGGAAGTAATCAATGCCCTTTTTCTATTGAAAGCCTTTTACAACAAGCCTTGCTTTGTATCTCTTGCTACCATTGTGCTCAGTTTTTGCATGGTACACCCACTTGTTCTGCGAAGCCTCCTCCCAGGTGGAAGTTCTGTCAACTCCCATTTCTGATTTCCTAGCAGGGAATCCATCTCATCCCTCATGGCCAACTCCCACTCGTTCGAATTCTCATCTTGTGAGGTTTTTCATTACTTTGTGGTTCTCCACCTTCTGTCAATAGAACGTAATTCAATGTCAATGAAATCGCTGTGGGGGTTGAATATTCCTAGTAGACCTCTGAATTGTTGCTGCAGGTGTGGATGGTTCTGGATTTGACTGTGGAGTAATAGGAATGGATGTATTGGGCCCATTCTCACCGTCACTCATGTCTCCACATTGCACAGTGACCTCTGAAAGGTCATCTAAACTTACAAACTCGTGTTGTTGAGGAGTTGTATCAGCAATTGTGCTAGGCTTGTCCTTGTACATAACTTTCTCATTGAACACCATGTTTCTACTCCTATCTTTTGACTCTGCCCATCCCAGAATCGATAACCAAATGCCTCATCTCCATAACCAATAAAATAGCATTTTTTTTATTTTGCTTCAAGTTTGCTGCAAGTATGGGAATCAGCAAGAACATAAGAAACACAACCAAAGGTTCTTAGATGGGAAAGCTTAACCACTTTTCCGCTTGAGGCCTCCTCAGGGAGTCTGTACTCCAATGGGACCGATGGTCCACGATTGATCAGGTAAATTGCAGTGTTAACTGCCATCTACCCAGAATGTAGGTAGTAGCCATGCATGCAACCTCATACTCTTAGCGCGCTCATTGATGGTTCTGTTCATGCGTTCAGTGACACCATTTTGTTGTGATGTCCCAAGTATGGTCTTCTCTATTCTGATACCATGAACTGCACGGTACTTCTTGAGTCTTCCATCAATGTATTCTCCACCATTATCTGACCTTAAGCATTTCAATTTCAAGTTTGTCTTTTTCTCAACTAGGGCCTTTCACTTTTTGAACACATCAAATACATCAGATTTAAATATTAGAAAATAGACCCATACCTTTTGGCTGTGATTGTCGATGAATGTGACGTAGTATCGAGAACCTCCAAGAGACGCCACTGGAAAGGGTGTGTGCACAAGATCTAGCTTTTCTAACTTTAAAGCTCTGCCACTCTTCAAGAAACTGACCTTCTTCTGCTTTCCAAGTATATAGCTCTCACACATGCCCAAATCAACTGACTTTAGCTCTGGTAGTTTTCCTTTTGACAGAAGTTCCTTCATGCCATTTTGACTCATATGGCCAAGCCTACTGTGCCACAACTCTGCGGTGCTATCTACTATAGTGGTAGTAATAGTGTCATTAGAACTGTCAGTCATTTACAAAGTACCAGTCTTCTTGCCTCGAAACAATACCACTGCTCCTTTAGTGACCTTCCAGATGCTATTTGAGAGCATTACTGAGTGACTGAAGTCGTCGAGCTATCCTACGAAAATTAAGTTTTTCTTCAACTCGAGAATGTGTCTAACCTTCTATAATGTCCACATTTTCCCATTAGAAAATGAAATGTTAATATCTCCAATTCCCACAACGTTCAATGCTTGTCCATCAGCCAAGTATACTTTTCCAAAATCACTGGCAATGTAGTTTTTCATGGTCTCCCGATGAGAATAGGTGTGAAAGGATGCCCATGAATCTAATATCCAATCATCAACAGAGCTGTGAACTGCAAGTAGTAACGAATCTTGTATTTCTTCAGTTACTATGTTCGCCCGTCAGTTTTTATCTTCTTTGGATTTCTGCAGTTTTTCTTTATGTGGCCTGTTTTGCCACAGTTCCACCAGGTTGCCTGTTGTCCAGGCCTTGATTTACTCCTGCTCATGTTCCTTGACTTTGATCTTCCTCTGTTTGAGTTCCTGTCATGTAACCTTCCACGAGCATCAACATTTAGAGTAGAACTTGATCCCAAGGTTTCACCAGAGTCCTTCCTGCGCACCTGCTCAGCCAAAATCAAATCACAAATATTGTTGTATTTTAATTTCATCTTACCAACAGAGTTACTAACAGCCATTCTCATGGCTTCCCAACTATTTGGCAATGATGCCAACAATATCAGAGCCCAAATCTCATTATCAAATTCAATTTCAATAGATGATAGTTGATTAGTGCTGGTATTAAACTCATTCAGATATTGGGCAACAGATGAACCTTCTGCCAGATTCAGATTGAATAATTTTTTCATCAAGTGCACTTTGTTGTTAGCAGACGATTTTTCATACACACGTGACAAAGCCTCCATGAGGTTTGTAGTGGTCTTCTCCTTGGTGACATTGTGTACAACTGTTCTTGGAAGTGTCAGCCGAATGACTCCCAAGACCTCCAATCAGCATCTGTCATGTTGTCTGGTTTCTTCCCCAATAGTGGAAGGTGGAGTTTCTTACCATAGAGGTAGTCTTCTATTTGCATCTTCCAGTATCCATAATCTATGCCATCAAACTTCTCAATACTAGATACCTTGACTTCTTTTCTAGCCATCATTTTTTTCTCCCAGACCCGAACTTGACTCTAATACCAATTTCTGGGAGTAGTTTGAAAACAATGGCAGTAGAATAAAACTAGAAGAAAATAATCACAGCACAAGAATTCACAAACTGCAGAGGATTTTATTGCCTGAGGAATTATACACACGTACACAGCCTTTTGAAGTTCTCAGAGATATATATATATATATATAAAACTTCTCAATACCAGATACCTTCACTTCTTCTCTAGCCATCATTTTTTCTCGCAGACCCGAACCTGACTCTAATACCAATTGCTGGGAGTAGTTTGAAAACAATGGCAGTAGAATAAAACTAGAAGAAAATAATCACAGCATAAGAATTCACAAACTGCAGAGGATTTTATTGCCTGAGGAATTACACACACGCACACAGCCTTTTGAAGTTCTCAGAGATATATATATATACACACATCAACGTGTAAAAGACAGAAGCCCTAATATTCTTGGACTTGGACTTGGGTAGACATGATCTAAGCTCCACAGAAAAAGGCCCAACATCTAAAACATAAGAATAAATTTCTCTAAAAATAGTGCATGCCATTCAAGCCAACCACCGCCATATCTCCGATTACTTAGAAAAGGGTTAAATAGGAGAGAGCATCTCAAAGAAATACTCAGTAGGCTACACGTGCTACATGAACATAATAATCATATATTTAATCATGCATTCTTACATGTTGCCTTCATAAATAAATAAATCAATAATTAAACGATTCGCTTAAGGTTCTGATGAGCTTCTGTGACCATCAGTTTAAACATATATAACTTTTCATCGTCAAAATTTAAAAGAGAACTCTAAAGGCACTTCATACACTTCATGCAAATATAACGAATAACATGCCAAACTAAAAATTAAATTCATGTAACGACAATTTCGCGTAAGGATCCTACCTTAATTCGTGGTGATGACGTAGTCGTTGAATCGAAATTTTATTTTTTCCAACATTTTTCTAAAGATTAGAGGTAAAATTGGAATTTTCCATCTCTGCTATATTTCTTTGGAGATTATGAAAATTGGAAGCTGTGTCAAAGAAAGTTGGATGAAAATTAAATTAAAGATAGTAGAATTTGGATAGGAATAGGTTTCTTATTAGAGGATTAGGATAGGGCTTAGCTGATTCAAATTTTTAACTAAATCCGACTTAATTCTAGTTTAATTCAAATTGGATAATTTAAAAAAATATAACCAACTTCCAAATGACTTTTATCCTAACCCAACGTATTAGAATACCCAATCCATTTCGCATGTGCTGCCAAAATTTATTAAATTCCTAATTGACTTTAATTAAATAGGTGGATACTTTGAACATCAATATCATGGGCCTAATTTATCCGAAATAACTTATTCTCGAGTACAAAATTTGTCATTTAATATGAGTTTTGAAACAAGTCCAATATTGATATGAAAATTTTTACTAGATGAATTCTTGGTTATTTGACCGAAAGCTAAAATTTTTGAAACAAGATTTATTTTTAACTTAATCCCTCGGTATCTCAAATTAACCAAACATGACAAAATGAAATAGATAAAAGTTTAATTTCAGTTGCTACAAGGCCCATCCCAACAAATAATAAATCAAAGCCATAGTAAATAATAAGACAACGAATTTCTAAACTATATTTAAAATTGAAGTACAATATTTCCTAGAGGAAATTACAGAAAAATATGTATCTAAATGTTCTAATTCAAAATTCAAGTGTGAACGATTTTTAACCAAAAATCAGGTATTAATTGAATTTACCTACCCACCCCATTACAAAACCTAAAATTTTCCCCCATCCCCATCTTATTCCTCTCTCTCTCTCTCTAAACACGCACAATCATAATCGAATTGGGAGCACTATGTACACAGAGTTGATGTGATGTGAACCCACGTAGCAACGATGGCTACAAAAGCCACATGAGACTGGTAGGAAACCCAGAAAAGCCAATTAATTGGTTTGTGAGTTTGAACCCAAGAAAAGTGAACCAAAGAACCCACTAATAACGATGATTGAAAGATCCCTTGATTACACAATCAAAGACCTGCACCTGGATTTGAAAACGTCACGAGAACGTAATTTTTGATCAATTCAAAGTGTTCAATGAAGAACAAGAGTTGAAAGCAAATAACCTTGCTACTGAAATCTCTCAAAGTAATAATTAATGTAGTGTGTTTTCCAATCGAAGGAAATAACATATTTATACTAGACACCAATAACCCTAAAAATCTATAAGGAAATGAAAAACAATCGACCAAGATTACAATAATTTGACTAAAATTAGAATTCTACTAAGATATGGAAACTCACAAAAAAAGAAGAATTTCTCCCGAAATCACACTATGCGATCGCATTATATAATCTAATGCAGTCGGATAGTTCATTTGAAATTCTTCAATTTGGTCTCAGGAATGGTCTATGCGATCGCATGCCTTTTATACTATGTGGTCACATAATATTAAATTTCAACACCAACTTTTTTATATACAGAATTTTGTGACGATTCAGGATTGCACTCATGGGCGAAAATTCGATACCCGAGCTAAAAGTTATGCTCATTTTAATCCAAGGCTTGAATCAAATTGCTCCAATTGGTTTCGACTCTTGACCCCAACACAGAAGTTGTCCCATTTTGTGCCACGTGTGATGTTTCATCAATTATGGATTGAACAAGTAATCCCATCACTTGTTTCACCCACTTTGCCCTTGATCTCGTCATCGATCCATCTTTGATTATCAACGGGTCTTGTCCCGGACTCCTTTTTGCTAGGTCGACTCTAGGATCACATCATCCCCTCACTCTTTAAAAAGATTTGTTCTCAAATCTGTACCAGCGTCAAAGAGAAAGATCAGACATATTAAGGGCCTGTTTGATAATGATTTTAAGAATTGATTTTTTGACCATTAAGGAAAAAAAATGGGGCCACATGTGAGTGAAGAAGTCAAAAAATCAATTTTTTGAGGTGAAAAATCACTACCAAACATAGCCTAAATGCTGCTGAAACATTGCACTCACCTGGAAGGTCCAGCTTGTAAGCATTGTCGTTGATCTTCTCAATGACTTGAAATGGACCGTCTCCCCGTGATTGCAACTCTGGCTTCTTTTGCTCTGGAAAGCTGTCCTTTCTGAAATGCACTCAAACCTAATCACCTAGTTCGAATGTGATGCTTTTCTTGCCTTTGTTTGCATGTGATGCAATGAGCTTATTCTTCTTCTCAATCTACAACCTAACTTTATCATGGAGTGATTTTACCAATTCTGCTTTTCTTTTACCACCACATTCATTAACAGCTAACAATATTAAATGCAATGGGGTAGCGGATTAAAACCATAAATAATTCCAAAAGGAGAACATGAAGTAGTAGAATAAATAGCTTGATTATAAGCAAACTCAACAAATGGTAAACACTCTTCTCAACTTTTCAAATTCTTGTTTATCACCGTGCATAACAGTTGAGTTATAATCCTATTGACTACCTCGGTTTGTGGATGACAAGTTGTGAAAAATAACAATTTAGTGCCCAACTTACCCCCACAAAACCCATCAAAAATGACTCAAAAACTTGACATCTCTATCTGACACTATGCTCTTAGGGACCCCATGCAGATCTACTATCTCCTTAAAGAAAAAATCCGCTATGTGAGTGATGTCATCAGTTCTATGATAAGGTATGAAATGCATTATCTTACTAAATTTATCGACCACTACAAAGATTGAATCGTATCCTTTCTTAGTCCTAGGTAAATCCAAATAAAATCCATTGAAATGTCAATCCTTGGTTTACTAGGTGTAGGTAATGGTGTATATAGTCATTGGGGGTAAAACTCTAGACTTAGCCCTCTTACAAGTTATGCATCGACTACTAATTCTCTCACGTTACTTTTCATTTTAGGCCAATAGAAATGCTCCCCTAACATCTCTTAAGTCTTTCGTACCTCAAAGTGCCCCACGACTACTATGTGCTTCTCTCACTAGTAACTCTCGCATCGAACATTTAGGAATACATAACCTATTTTCCCAAAACAAATACCTTTCATGCTTATAGTACTTATCTATAGCCCCCTTATCACATAAATTGTACATTTCGCAAAAGTCCAAGTCATTTTCATACATATCTTTAACATATTCAAAGCCAAGCAATTTAGCACTTAGTGAATTTAACAATGCATACCTTCGAGATAAAGCATCTGCCCCTACGTTTTCTTTACCTTGCTTGTACCAAATGACGTAGGAAAATGTCTTAATAAACTCCATCGATCCGGCATGTCTCTTGTTTAGCTTCCCTTGACCCCCCAAGTGCTTTAACGATTCATGGTCAATGTGTATCACAAACTCTTTAGGCCATAAATAATGCTACCAAGTCTCCAATGCCCCGAACAAGTGAGTATAGTTCCTTATCATATGTTGGGTAGTTTAGTGCAGCTCCACTCAACTTTTCACTGAAATATGCGATTGACCTTCTTTCATGCATTAACACTGCTTCAATACCTATTCCTGATACCTCACACTCAATCTTGAATATTTTGTCAAAGTTAGGTAATGCTAAAACATGTGCTTTACACAATTTTTCTTTAATAGCCTTAAATGAATGTTCCTATTCATCACCCCAATGAAAACCCACACTTTTCTTAACTACTTCTGTAAGTGGTGTAGTAATTGTGCTAAAATCTTTTACAAACCTCTTATAAAAACTAGCCAATCCATAGAAGCTCCTAACTTTAGTTATGCTTTTAGGTGTTGACCAATCTTTAATCGCTTTAATTTTCTCTTCGTCTACTTCTACCCCATTGGAACTAACTACAAAACCTATAAAAATACTTTCTCCATGCAAAATGTACACTTTTTAAAGTTTGTATACAATTGTTTTTTTCTTAACACTACAAACACACATCTTAAATATTATATATGCTCAGTTAGATTTTTACTATAGATTAAAATATCGTCAAAATAAACAACAACAAACCTTCCCATAAGAGCATGCAAAATATTATTCATTAAGTGCATAAAAATGCTTGGTGCATTAGTGAATCCAAATGGTAAAACTAACCATTCTTATAACCCATATTTAGTTTTCAATGCAGTTTTCCACTAGTCAACTTTTCTCGTGCGAATTTGATGGTAATCACTTTTAAGATCAATTTTGCTAAAGATACATGCACCATTCAATTCATCGAACATGTCATCTAACCTAGGAATATGGTGACGATACTTTACCGTTATGTTATTGATGGTTCTGCAGCCTGCAGTCCATGCACATCCTTCATGATCCATCTTTATTTGATACAAGAAGTATTGATACGGCACATGAACTCATGCTTTTCTGTACATGACCATTGCTAATCAACTCCTCTACTTGCCTCTGAACTTCCTTTGTCTCCTTAGGATTATTCCGGTAAGTTGGTCGATTTGGAATGACAACTCCAGTTATGAAGTCAGTGTGATGCTCAATGCCTCGAATAGGTGGTAATCTACTAGGTATATCTTTCGAGGATATATTTTCGAATTCCTGCAACAAAGATTTAGCCAAACTAGGGAGGGTGTGTTAGTTTCCTCAAAATTGAGGAGTGTTTCTTTATACAACAATAAAATAATTTGTTTTCTCTCATTTGCCGCCCTCATCAACTCACTCCCTTTTTGCAAAGAAATTCGTTCATGATTTTTCCTTTCTCTCGAAAAACTCTATTACTTTTCTCTCTTGTGGCTCCTCTCTCTTTTTCTCTCTAATAGCCACCTCACTATTTTCTCTCTTACTCACCATCTCATTATTTTCTCCCTTTTTCTCTAACTCACGGTTTTCCGTCTTTTTTTTTAACTCACAATTTCCTCTCCTTTTCTCTAACTCTTTTACTCTTCTCTCTTCCTCATTCCTCAACTTGATTTGGTCCTTATATACTTACGCTGGTGTTAATGGTACAAGAGTAATGGTCCTCCCGTCATTGGTGAAACTATAGCAATTCTTGTACCCATCGTGAATAGCCTTCCTATTATATTGCCATGGTCTTCCCAACAAAATATGTCCCGCTTACATTGGTACCACATCACACACTACTTCGTCTCGGTAACTCCCAATTGAAAATTTATTAAAATCCTTCTATTAGCCTTAACTTCTCTACTTTTTCATTTGACCATTGTAATTTGTATGGCCTAGGGTGTCTCAACTATGTTAATCCTAACTTCTCTCAAGTGCTATACTAGCGACGTTTGTGCAACTACCACCATCATTAATTATACTACATACCGTATTGATAATGTCGCATCGAGTATGGAATATGTTCTTTTATTGTAACTCCAAATCATCCGCCTTGATGTGAGTCCTAAGAGCTCGCCTTGTGACTAGTAATTTTCCAATGGCTCCTTCAAAATTTTCTCCATCACTAACCTCCTCCAATGCCGACATGTTGTCATATTCGCCTTCACCTTGCTCACCACCTCTCCATTATCCTACAACAGCATTGCCCTTTTGTTTGGACATTGAGAAGCGATGTGCCCTGACCCCAAGCAATTAAAACACTTCATGTCTCGGATTCTTGATGGTTGTGACTCCGCTTTAAGTATGGGTTTGCTAGCGCCTTCCTCTTTTCCTTTTTTCCATTCATTCCTACCTTTAGGTACATCCCCGTTTCCTTTATTGTTGTTATCCCACTTCAATTTTCAAGATGTATTAGAAACCGAAGAATCTATCGGTTGCCTAACTGTTCCATTCCTATTCAATTTTCTCTCCACCTTCTTGGCTCCATACAACATGTCCTCTAACTCCACATAATATTGCAATTCAACTATGTTAGCAATATCCCGATTTAGTCCATTCAAGAACCGTGCCATAGTAGCTTCTCAATCCTCCTCCACATTCGCCCTAATCATAAGTATCTCCATCTCCTTATGGTAATCTTTCACATTCTTTGATCTCTGATACAGGCTTTGCCATTTTTGATGGATCTCCCTATAATAGTGAATAGGAACGAATCATTTTCTCTAATTGGTCTCTCTCGATTCCTACACCGTGATGTAACCACTTGATCCCACCAAGTTATTGCATAGTCAATGAACTTGAGAATCACTATCTTTACCTTCTTCTCCTCTGAGTAGTTATGACATTCAAAGATCAATTCAACTTTTCTCTTCCATTCTAAATATGCATCCATGTCACTTCTCCCCTTAAATTGTAAAATCACCATTTAGATGTTTCTCATGTTCCCATCTATCTCATCTCCATGGTTATTTCTACCCCGTCTTTCAAACCTATCACCTCTATTCCTCATCCATCCTATATCAACTCCATTAAACTAATCCTCATCCACATTACTACCATATTCACATTCTTCACGCCTTTCTCTCCTAGGCTCTCGTCTAACCTGTCTTCTAACATTAGACACTTCGACCCGCTGTCCCTACTAAGATTAGCCATCGATGTATCTTAACCTTGTCATCCAAGCTTCTTGTCTATCCATCCTATCTATCACATCCCCTAGCGCCCTTTCAAACCATAATACCAAGTCGTCCGACGTGGTGTTGTGATTGCTGTTTCTGCTGGAATTTGAATCTTTTCTTCCAGACATCTTAAATCAAGAATTTTTTTTGCCTCACCAGTATTCACTCGGAAACACACAATATGGCTTTTACCCTCTATTAATCTCACCACTCTACCTTTTACCACTTAGTGCTTTCTACAAGAGCTTCAAAGAACAAGGTGAACTTAAAGAAACTCAAACATGTCGATTCTCAACCGGATGTGAGCAAAGAATATGACTCAAGAAAAATAATTCGACGATATAAACTCTAATAGAAGACTATTGAAATTTAGGAATTAATTGACACGAAATTTATATTGATGGAAAAGGAATAAGGAGACTCGAAAGTTAAAATAAACTTTGTTGGTAGTAAATTGAACACTAACAAAATAATAAATTTTTTTTTTGGCTCTTTTCCTTCCTTTTTTTTTTACCTTCCCTTTTTTTTTTTTTTTTTTTTTTTTTAAAAAAGTTTTTTTTTTTTTTTCCTTCCCTTTTTTTTTTTTTTTCCTTCCCTTTTTTTTTTTTTTTCCTTCCCTTTTTTTTTTTTTTTCCTTCCCTTTTTTTTTTTTTTTCCTTCCCTTTTTTTTTTTTTTTCCTTCCCTTTTTTTTTTTTTTTCCTTCCCTTTTTTTTTTTTTTTCCTTCCCTTTTTTTTTTTTTTTCCTTCCCTTTTTTTTTTTTTTTCCTTCCCTTTTTTTTTTTTTTTTTTTTTTGTGAAAAACAAGATATCAAACTACAAACAAACCAATAAAGTGGTTTTGGATGCTAAAATAGCCCCAAAACAATCTTTGAACAATTTGACGATAATTTAATCGGATTAAAAGGCTCAAATAACAAAGAACAACAATGACATGATGAAGGACGAAGAAAACATGAATTAAAATACTCAAACTTTAACGAGATACAAAGAACAAGAGGAAAAATACGATAAAACGCGAAAACAAAGAACAAAGACTCAATAAGAAAAAATTAAAAGGATATAACCTGTTAATTTGGAGCCTGTGCTCTGATACCAACGGATGCAAACCCACGTAGCAACGATGGCTATGGAACCCATAGGAGATTGATAAGAAACCCAGAAATGCCAATTAACTGGTTTGTGAATTTGAACCCAATAAAAGTGAACCAAAGAACTCAGTAATAATAGTGATTGAAAGACCCCTCGATTACATGATCAAAGACCCGCACGCGAATTTGAGAACGTCACAAGAATGTAATTCTTGATAAATTCAAAGTGTTTAATGAAGAATAAGAGTGGAAAGCAAATAACCTTGCTATTGAATTCTTTCAAAGTAATAATGTAATGTAATGTGTTTTACAATCGAAGGAAATAACATATTTATACTAGACTCCAAAAACCCTAAAAATCTATCAGGAAAAGAAAAACAATCATGAAAGATTAAAATAATTTGACTAAAATTAGAATTCTACTAAAATATGGAAACTCGCGAAAAAAGGAAAATTTTTGCCGAAAATTACATTATGCGATCACATTGTATAATCCAATGCAGTCTTATAATTCATTTGAAATCCTTCAATCTAGTCTCGGGAATGGTCTATACGGATGCGATCGCATAGTATTAAATTTCAACATCAACCTTTTCATCTGCAGAATTTCGTGATGATTCCAGATTGTACTCATGGGCTAAAATTCGACGCCCAAGCTGAAAGTTATGCCCGTTTTGATCCAAGACCTGAATCAAGTTCCTCCAATTTGTTTCGACGCTCAACCCCAACATAGATGTTGTCTCATTTTATGTCACGAGCGATATTTCATCGATAATGGATTGAACAAGTAATCCCATCACTTGTTTCACCTGCTTTGCCTTCGATCTCGTCATCGGTCCATCTTCGATTATCAACAGGTCTCGTCCCGAGCTCGTCTTTGTTGGACTCAACTCTAGGATCACATCATGATGGCAATGACAACAGTGACATCGACACCCAACACTCGTCTTCTCTTCTCCTTAATCTCTCCTCTCACAACAGTAGTTGCGCTATCCCTGGAAGAGAATCTCCGATGTAGGTGGTTCTGCCTCTGTCTTTCAGAATCTTCAATATGAACGCCAATCGTGAGTCGGAGTTGTTGATCGTCGATCTGACCGTGACCTTTGCTATCCTCTCTCAATTGTTATTTCAAAGTGACTTGTTATATGTTGGCCGACAGCAATGAATGTTTAGTCGACATTTTGAGTTTGTATTTTTTGGTGGTTGGTGGAAAATAAAATCACTGCTGCTCTTTCTATTTTGTTGTTATTTGTTGGTTGTTGGAGTTGTAGTAGTGCAGCGATGGTTTCTATTTTTCAGGGCTTTGCGGAGGTTTTGGTGATCGGCTTAACTGGAGTTGTTGGGTAGTTTTTGGTAGTGGTGGTGGTGCAGGATTTGACGGTAACCATGGTCACCGTGGTTGTGGATTTGGCAATGATAGTGGTGTAGGATTTGGTGTTTTCGGGGGTTTTTAGGTGGTTTCTGTTGGTTGTGTAGGTAGAGGTACTGGCGGCGATGTTGGATCTGGTGGCGGATGATGATGATGGTGATGTTGTGGTGCTGGCAAGTGTGGTCGCAAGTGGCGGTGGCAGTAGTGTTGATAGCGATGAACCAATTATTTGATTATATGTGATCAAGTATTAAATTGTGACCTTAAAATTTGATAACTTCTGACTGAAATATAATTTGTGACAAATGTGTGAAAATATGTGACCAATAATAAATTGTAACCTATAATTTTTTTGATTTGTAATCAATGAAATAAATTGTGACCTATAAAATTTTTAATTTGTGACCTCGAAATAATTTGTGACCAATTAATTTGACAATATGTTTAGTAAAAAAATTGTGACCTACAATTATGTATATGTGAACATTAATTTTATATTTGTGACATTATTAAATTTAATAAATAAATATTTTTAATTAATTCGCTAATACTTAAGTTTTGCATTTGGAAACTTGATACCTGAAAATTGAATTTATCATACTTAACCCCTAACTTTTGATTCTTAACTCTGAAATGAAGGGTAGCAATTTGATCATTTGTCCATTTGGGTCTAAAGAGCCCATACTCCTGGCCCACCTTTCTAAACCATAACCCATCTTCCACTTTACTAGCTCATAAATCACCAATGTACCTTGTACAAACCCACCAACCTAACCTACTATAATTCCAAACCTAAAACTCCCAAAAGCCTAAAACAATCCAACAAATTATCCAACCCTATATAGCCCAATTAATCTAAATACTCAAGCACAATACCACAAAATTGACCCCGTTAATCTGGCCACTACAATTTGTACGAACTATACCTTAACTCAAGCCTAATTCTAAACCTTCATTTTTTTTCAGCTTTCTTGGCATCACATTTTTCTTCCAACTCGCCAACGACCAATCATTTGGTGTCGACACCCGTCATATCACCACCTCCTTCACCATTCCAAAACACAGCCAACCACTCTAGCAGTTCCACATTTTTGGCTTCCCAAACCATCCACAACCTACAACACTAGCTTCACTATCTTCAACAGCTCTTAATACTACCTCTATCACCCACCAACAGCCATTGGCCTGCAAGATTTGTCGTATACTACTTAAAATCAACTACCCACCACCTCCTTCTGCCCAACAGCAAACAACCCTTCACTGTCTTCCTTTGCCTAACATACATCAGGCATCCTTATCGCTGACTGGCCTTCCTCGCCAGCAACCTATTTCCACTCACGCCTCTTTATGTCGAACTATCCTCGTTGTATGAACAACCCAAAGCCAGACCCACTATTTCCTACTCCATACCAACAACCAGGGACAGACCCACTAAAGGACGAGTGGGGTCGACCGCACCTCACTGAATTTTCAAAAACCTTCAATTCGACCTCGTTAAATTTAAATTTTCA